CAAATGGTATGGTGGGGCTCATAGTTTTTATAAAATATGAGCTACCAAATGATTTTGATGACAGATTGGAACTGTGGCAATCATAATTACACATGCAAAAATTCATTTTCTGTGAGGAACAGCAATGCCTATTTTCTATTTCCATCCTTTACTTCTGTCTTCTGTGAGTGCTGGGGAACATTTTAGATGTGGTTGCTCAGACTACTGAAGATTTTTAAAAAAAATTCTTGTTTCTTAGAAAGTAATTGAAAACTACCACACCAAACAAAAATGTATGTAATACACATAAATGCTATAAAAGTAATGTGGTCTATACAACAATTTATAATGCTATTTCATATCTGAGGCAAAATATGATCAGGTCTTTCACACACTTAGATCACCCCTCTGTGTCTGTGCTGCCTTAGTGCAGACTGTGACACAGGCTCACACTGCAAGGCATGCAACCATGACAGCTGCTTTTGTTATAAGATGGGGAAGGGTGGATRAATAGCATCACAGGTCCCATTAGTAAAAGGCTTCCTGAGCTCTACTGAATCAACAGACAATAGTCAGGTATCAGCTACTTCACTAGGAAATGCATCAAAAGCAGGACTGGGGGGCTTGGGATGTGAGGTGGGGAAGCAGGGAGTGAGATGCAAGGTACTGCTTCATTCCTTTGTCTGCTTCAATTCCTCTAATAGAAATTCCATGAAGGCATGTTAACCTGATGAAGAATTTCAGCAGCAAATCATCACAAAGAGGCCATGAAAGCCTGTTTAATACTGGCAGGTGGCATCCAGTCCAGGTGCCCTCAGGAGCTCATCATCTGAGAGTCATCTGATAAACAGATGCTTTTACAATTGTACAAACTGAAGATGGAAAAACCAGTCAGGTCAGTTCAGTCCATCTCTTCTCTGCCAATGCAAGACAGGATTCTTTTATTCCTTTTCCTGATGCATTTATTTAGCCTTTTTGTGCTGTTTAGTTTTCAAATTTCCAGGTAAGCCAAGAGGCATCCTCTAAACTGCTAGGAAAATGAGTATTTCATATCTTGATTCTCAGASCTTTCCTTCTTCACTCCTGTTTGGTGAAGTAAGTTGTTTACCTTCTTTCACTGCTCCATACTACAGCCACTCCAAATCACTCTATTTACCTCCCCTTTGCATTTACCCAAGAATTTCTGTATTTGAACTTTGTCTTTCTTTCACAAGTTATTCTAATGATTATTTATAGGGGGGCACATCAGTATTCTTCTCTTACACTGTGTTAGCATCATGCTGACCCCAAAACTAATTCAGTATTTCATGGAGAATTACTGTACCAGAATTATTGGTTTCAGAGCAAGAGCTCTCACACTCCCTACTATGCAATATTCAGACATGCACCCCAAGACTGCAGTGGTTTTTTCCTCTCATTGCATCCAAATKAATCTTTTTAATGCAGGTTTAAAATGTTTTCCCAAATCCCCTTTTATTGCCTCTATTTTATGGCCAGTGTGTACTCACCGAAGTTTTGATTGTTGCTGTTGTATTTCTTCATATTTTCCCCTTATTGTTTGAAAGTCTYCCCAATCCAACCATGTATTTCAGTAACACTGTCTCCATGAACTTTCTCCCTCCTCTCCAGGACTCKAACTACCACTAAACCCTCCACATGGCTATAAAAACAACTCCATTGCTATCCATTGYTACTCAGACAACTTCAAAACCACCAGGCTTTTCTCTTATTTAGGCAAATGTGAATTTACTTTTCAAGCAAGATGTCATTATTCACACACATAGGCCTAGGTGAAAATTTTAGCAGATATTTGTATGCAATTAATTCCTTTCAATTTCATTTCCATTCMATTTCAACTCATTCCAGAACATTGCTTTGTAGCTTTGTAGTAGGTGCAGTCAGCTGAAARTGAGATCACAAGGGGCCAAAGAGGGCCTAAGCACATCAGGTCCCTTATAGGATTAAGGTAGAAAAATTACAGTTTATACAACTTCAGCTGTGATTATCAGATATCATCAGCTGCTGGGAACATGTGCAGAAGCAGAAYTCCAAGCAATTAACTTGCAGGTTGAACACGGATGCATTCAATGAGCTGTGATGCTCCCAGAGTTAAGGAGACACTGGAAATTGCCTCTGCTTATTTACCTCAAATACACTGATGGTCTTTACTGGGCCTGGTCTGGTGAGAAGTGCTGGAAAAAACCCTTTCTGCCTCTGACTACAATCAATCAATAAAAACACTGTTGCAGATTGCTCATAGTGTTATTTGTTCTGTAGTGTTGTAACGGATGCCACAATGTGTCCCTAATGCAATACGGACCAAAAAAATCCTTAAAATTTAYACAGAAGTTAGATTCAACAAGACAAAAGTTTCACTGTATTCTATTTATTTACCTCTTACATTCCACTTCTCCATTTTCTTAAATTAAAAACTGGCATTGGTACATATTTTTGTCACTTAAATTAATATCCTGCAATCCATATCAATCAGTTTTTTCTTTTTATGTATGGAATAACATTCCAGGGCAGGAAAATATCCTTCTTTTTTTAAAGCCCTGATGCTCTACCATATCAGTCTTCATCGCTATTACAGAAGTGGAGTGAGAAAACTACTCCCTTCCTTCCCCAAATATTTTTTTTGCGCTGATGTATTTGTAAATTCCTTTATAATCCTCCATTTCCTCTGTTAGCATGAAACAAACTAATCCATCCTCTGTCAATCCCACTCAACTCAGTGTCTTTGAGTGTCACTGTGCATTTTTTTGTTATTTTTTTTCAACTTCAGGTCTTCAAACCTACATCTGAGGCTTACTGCTTTCCACAGCAGTGGTCAGCCACCCTTCTGCAGTAGTGTTTTTGGCTTGTGCAGCCATYCTGCACACTAATGAAATCTTAGTTCTTATGAGACCAGAATCCTCATCTTCCTCCCTCTAAATCCATTCTTTACAGTGATTAATTTTAGTAGCATTTGTGCACAAGTTCCATCTTCTCCATTAGTAAGAAATACTACAATCAGAGCAAGGTTTTTCTCTATGGGGACAAGAATGGTCATGGATATGGCCTTGCTGCCTCTATGGAAGACAGGAGGAAAGGTAAACTCTTTGCACCATTCCTGTACAAAGCATTAATCTACTCTGCACTTTYATGTAAGAAAAACCTTGGACCTTTGCATAGCAGGCATCTTCTGTGTTGTTCTGTCCACCACTCATTCAGACTCCTATTTTGTCTACAGAGGTGTTGGATTAATGGCTGYATTTTGAGAGTATGTGTTAACTTGGAGTATTCCCACAAATATCCTACAAAGTATTCTGCATCGTAGCTCCACTCTCCCAAGTCCTATCTGGGCAAAACACAGCCCCAAGAAACCCAAACCCCTCAGATATTTTTATATTCCAAAAATAYAGCAATCCTAGGTTCTGGCATTTGCTTTTGGAAGTGTCTGCATATTCATCCAGCTTCTGCCTTATCAAAAATATAAAGACAGTCATAGAATCATAAAACAATTTAAGCTGAAAAAGACCTTCMCRATCATTGAGTCCAACAATTAGCAAGCAGCTACACTTATCACCAGTCACACAAAATGACCCTCGAAGTGAAGGCACTTCCAGAGCAAGTCAGAGCTCTGTGTGTTCAGGAGGGACAGAAAGTCCAGCACTGTTGCAGGCAGCAATTTCAAGAGGCACCAGCCTGGAGAGGAAAGTAGGGGAATGCCAGAAGCATGAAGATAATTTCAATGATATATAATGATATAACAGTCAATGATACATAAACCAAACACTGTAACATCTGTGTTTGTATTGCTTTACTGGTATTTATAAATACTTCATCTGGTGCCATTTCATTAACCAGCAGTTAAAGTTCAGTTAGTATTAACTAAAACATTAAATTTTAGCACATGTTGATGCCCAGTAATTCATTCAAGTGTTTCACAGCTGAGGAAYTGCCACTTTTCTTAAAACTGTCATCTTCTTGGCCAAACTTATTCATGGATCTGGTAGCATATGAATTATGTTCACTRCCCTTACTTTCATCTGTGTAAGTCAAAGTGTATGGTTTTGGGCCAATACCTTGCAGAGTCCTTTGACAGTATTTACTGTGATAATTTACAATTCTGTCAATTTCTGCACTTTGCAATTTAGCTACTGCCCATCTATTCTGGTAGTGGTTTGAAGTGTTTCTCCTCTCTCCCAGATGAAAAACTGTAATACAGACCTTGGTTACTGCTAGCAGCTGCACAGAGGAAGCTGAATATTTTATCACCCAGACATCTACTTGCAATAGCTGCACTCTTATTCACATTTTMGGTTACTTCTGTACTGTTAGTGTGYAATAAAAAACTCACCAAACTTTAAACACATTTAGTAAGAAGATACAGATACCACCCAAGCAGTATAGTGAAGTCTGGACTAATCTCCATTTTTCATAATTGTTCCAAAAATAGAACAAAAATATGAAGAACTGAGAATTTTACACTCATAATTAAGATGATGGTGCCATTTCAAAATCCACTTCAAATACTTCTTCTAAGCAGGATGCATGCTTATACATGCACTAGACAGAAAGCTGCCACTACAGCTTGCAAATAGAAAAATGCATTTGCATTTTAAAACCAACAACAAAGTGAAATCTCTACTTGCAGTCATCTCCTTTTCAAAAGCTTTGCATATGAAATAGTTATGACTCTCACAGCTGCAGAAAAAGCTCTTATTTCTGACCAGCATATTGAATTGCAGTATCTGATCACTGATTTTGGCCTTGTAGCTTACTGGAGCCACTTTCCTGTCTTGCAACTTTTCCTCTCTGTCGAGGCTGTTTGAACTGCACAGTGGCATACAAATACATGCTTTTAAAAATTTTAATTGTATTATAAAGAAAAGCCAGAAACACTTTATTTATAAAAACCCCTATTTGCATAGCAATCCAAACTACTACTGTAAATTACTGAGTCTGTACAGCCTAAGTGAGTATCTCAGGTAAAACTTATAGGCGGAATCTTGCATAAAAACAAACCAAACACCATATAAGTTATTAGAAAACAATCCAACATTTTAATCTTGAAGACTTCAAACATTATTGCAATATAATTGTGGAAAAACATGTTACTTCTTAGAAGGAAGTTAAGCATACTCAAAGAGGTTGGTATCTTCTTCAGTTACAAAGTTTGATTTTCCTTGTTCAGTTCCTCATAGCCAACATGGCATTTATGTCCCAAATAAGATTTCGTAACTGATCCATGATCTGCTTCAGCTGCTGATTTTTCAGTTTCAGTTTCTGTGGGAAGAGTTTATTACAAGTTTTTTTGAGATCAATTCAAATAACACACTCAAAAAATCAACAAACAAGTTACAATGCTATGAAATGTCATATGAATCTTAATCTCAGTTGTCRGTRAGCACTATTAGTGGGATAATACAYCCCCTTTAAACCACATTCTAAAAAYASAAGAAAGCCTCAAGAGTTAAGGACCATGGCTAGATGGGGAAYGTTGTTTCTTTTCACAGCAGCCTTTTATCAAAACACCTGACACCTTCAAAAGCTGGAGGCTTGCAGGGTTCAGTCCTCACTTTGAAGAGAACATCCTAAGCTGGAAGAAAGAATTTGGGGAGCAGGTAAATTTATGTGAATATATGCTTTATAACTTGGGTTTGGAGAAAAATGAGGGATTAACAGTACAAGTCTGAACAAAACACAAGGTATAGGTGAAGCAAATCAAGGTTTTGCAGCCCTTCTGCTAAGTAGGTCAACCATGATGTGTAAAGAGTCCTGTCTTGAAAAAGGTTTTCCCAAGCAAGCTGATTTCTTTAAAATTGTGCATTCGTTTTTGCAAACTGCAGACGCATTTGGGGGAACAGGAGAACAGCAAATCAGCTTTTATTTGGCTGCACAGTCAAAACTAAAAAATTATGTCTCTACGGAAGAAATATTGGTGCGTTAAGAAATCACACCATTTCCCTAACCTTTCATGTTTCACAATAATACTCATATTTATTGTCTCATTTATTCATTTTCCTGCTCAAATCAAAGCTGTTAAGAAGTAAGTTAGGTTGTTGTTAACAGTACATAGTCTGCCCTTCAATTAATTTAATTCTGATTTGATAAGATGCCAGCCTTCTCACACTAGGGATCAAACCACTTATTCATTAGGGAAGTCTAGAGTTCCAAGTGAAGTGAAAGCACAGGGAAGACTTGCTACCATCAAAACAGACCCAAATGTTTCAGGCTTGATGTAACTTTGTTATTTGCACTACACAAATGGCAATACATTAAATGCACGGCTCAAATCAAGTAACTGGAAGAGACAAAACAAAGCAATATCCTAAAGTCTCCTGAATTTTGATGCAGTCAACACAACAATATTTTTAAGTTGCCAGCTGGTGAGCTGGGAAAGAAGTCCAGAGAAAAAAGGAAGCCTATTCACTTCAGATCTGTAAAACCAGTCTGAAGTAATACAGTAATTAGTCTTAGATTACATGTGGAACATAGTAAGGGAAATAGTACAGACTTTGCAGGGCACATTCCCTGGAAGAAAGACAATACTTGATCCAGACTCCCAAGAAGGATACAAAAACAGATGTAGGACAGTTTATGTGCACTAACAAGGAGTTTCTAGTCAATAATCTGACAGACTAAAAAGTGTTTTAAAGGTAACTATATGTATATATCTAATGCTCCTTTCTTTTCTGTTTGCTGATCCAAGATGTCATAACATCCAGCTCCTAAAGACAAGAGGGAAACCAAGACATGTGTAGCTACCACAGCATCCACATGACAGAATTGCAAGGGTCTTCCTACAAAAGATCATGAATGCAAGATCTTGATGCTTGAGAAAGCACAAGAGGGATGAGACAAACAAGCATGTTCATACCAGTGGCAGTTTTAAATACAATGTTGTTTGCCATCCTCAACATTCAGTCCTAGAGAAATCAGTGACTATTACATCACATTACTGCTATAATGCAAGCTGTAACTCCCTCATACTGAGGGTGTGCCATTTCAAGGTATTTCAAATCCTTCATCAATGAAAATGAAGGCGGAACAGTTGGTGATGGTAATTCAAGCCACAGACAGAAATAAGAGCCATTGACCTCTRACAGGCAGATTGTTTTCTCTCTCCATCCATGTCTAACTGTACTGTTAAATAGTGTTACTCACATGAACTTTGTGCAAGTTATGCTTGAAAGACTCATTCTGTAAGAGTGTTTTTCCTTTCTTGTGCAAGTATTATGACACTGTAAAATGTTTGATCTTTATTTGATGCTAGACAAGGGAACCTTCAGAMTGGATTTCATTTGTTTTCAAAGCATCTCTAAAGACAAGAAGTATAAAATTGTTTATTTATCTAAAGATAATTTTAGATCCTCATCTTTAGTGAAGAGCTAATTTCTTAGCTCCTCTACTTTTTCTGGAGACAGAAAAAACATCTAAGCTGAAGCACCATCCCTGGGTTGCTAGGCTGTTGAAAGAATAAAGAAGAGGAAAAAATCCACTTCAGGGTGCACAGTCTCCTAATTGAAATGCATACAGTGATCTTTGTTACTGATCTTTGACAGACAGTGGTCCACACCACAAAGTACTACATAATTAATATGTTCTGCACCACTGGAAGTGCTGGCCTCTGCTTAAGACTTTGCTGAGCCAGTAGGAACATTTCAACTCAAGTCTAACCTTGAAAAGATAGGTGAAATGGCCTTCTCAGGAAATAGGCGAGATCTTGAAGCAGCTTCTGCAGCAATGACAAATTTTCATTTGAACAGATTGCTTGCAAGTTGTCTCCCACTCTTTCCTCCTTCTGTTGAAATGACTTAGTTGAACCCTAGACTGCTTCTCAGGATTAACAGTTGTGTGAAACAAGAAAAAGAACTTCATCCTACATGCTTGCTACAGCTTCTGACTTAAAGCTGTTTTGAGATCGCACAGGGAAACTATATGAGGCAGTTTATAATGAGTTTAGGAGACCTACATTCAAGTTACATYTGTCAGGCATGTTTCTGTTAGTCCCTCTCTCTCAGAAAAGTGATCTGACTGAACACCAACATGAGGAGGTCTTCTTTGGTGATGTTAATATTCAATGGGATCCATTTTGACTGACCTTGTAAGTATTACGGCCGTTGTGATGGAAGTGGCAAGGACTGCACCTTCCAGCAACCAACAAGACCTTAGTTGGCTTAGGTCAGGAATGTCATTTATGAGAACATATACTGAAGCACAAAACCCATATAAATTMAAGTAAGCATAACATAAACACATAACATAACATAAATAACCATTAACATACATCTAGAAAATAGCTGTCTTTCAAGGTAGAAAAGATGCCACAAAGAACCTGCCATGTTTCATACAGATTTGGGTTCAGTACGGCATTTGACTGAAACAAATTTTTCACAAAAAGCCATTTTTGGTTCACTAGCTTTTTATTAGAAACCAGTGCTGTCTACATACAATTCACAACTCGCTATCAGAGATGTATCAGAACCTTCCTTTGCATACTGCTCCAGTCTCTCTCCTCATTTTAAGCTCAGGTATCCTTCAAATTTTAAAACTAAAGCATCACTATGAGTCATTACACTGCACTGAATCCACTTGTTAGAAGTCTCTTCTTCAGGTAAAGAAAATAATGCAACACTGTGGAAGAACAAGATCGTATTCCAAATAGTACTTGCAAAAGCATCAACAATACTTGCCTATGTTGTACAGGCTCTTCTTCTGCTTAAGGGAAAAAAAAAAAAAAAGCAAAGATCTATTTCCATCTTGGAAATTTATATATAAGATCATTCTTAAGATCATTCTCCTGAATGCTGTGCCAGCTGCAGTTTTTGCCTGCTCTATTCAAGATCTACAATAATTAAGGTCAGAAGAACATCTCAGTGTCTCAGTGTAATATTAAATATTAATAACTGCAATACCTTTACTTGCACAAATCTTAGCAAAATTAGGAAAAATATGTTTACTTTGTTGATTAGGACTGTACCACAAAGAATTTGCATCATGTTCTTTCSCATGAGCATAGAATCACGGAACAGTTTGGGTGGGAAGGGACCTTTAAAGATCATCTAGTCYGACCCTGCCATGAGCAGGGCCATCTTCAACTAGATCGGGTTGCTCAGAGCCCCATCCAGCCTGACGGTGAATGTTTCCAGGGATGGGGCATCTACCACCTCTCAGGACAAGTGTTTTATCACCTTCAGCCTAAAAAAATATCTTCTTTATATTTATTCTAAATTTGTCTTCGTTTAATTTAAAGCCATTACCCCTTGCCCTATCGCAACAGGCCCTGCTATAAAGCTTATCCCCATCTTTCTTATAAGCCCCCTTCAGCTACTGAAAGACTGCTGTAAGATGTCCCTGGTGTCTTCTCTCCTTCAGTCGAACAGCCTCAACTCTCTCAGCCTTTCCTCATATGTAGTTGTTCCATCCCTCTGATAATTTTTGCAGCCCTCCTCTAAACCCACTCCAAGAGGTCCACGTTTTCCTGTGCTGAGGAACCCAGAGCTGGACACAATACTCATGCTACTCCTGACCATTAAACTGCTGTAGGAAATGATTCTTGAAAGCCTTACAAAGCTGACAGTGGCCTCTGTTTTYCCAGGCAAGTCAAGTCCAAGAAATTCTACAAAAACAGGATGTTTGTAATAGAAGAGTGGTATTTATACTGCTCTTTTTTAAAATGAGTCCTTCATAAGGAAGGAGTGAGAAGGTGGAAAAACTTGCTTTTTTTCTTTTTTCCTCTGGTAGTCAAGAGACTACTACAATGTTATATGCATATAGCTGGAAAAAAAGTTAGAAAAAACACCATCAACACTTTGCTCAAGCTCTCTTAAAGCTGCCAAGTGATGTCTTAACTTATGGCTGCTCAATTGATACCAAGGCTTACTTTCCATCATAATAAATTCATRTATCAATCTATTTATAGCTTTTCCCAAAGGAATAAAAAATATTMATCACTAATACAGTAACTGCTGTGCAATTAAACATTAACATGCTCATTGTCCAGTATTTACAGCTTTTCCTGATGTCATCCACAGGCATGACTGTTCTACACTTAGCAGAAATGAGAGACTGAGTTTTCTGCCTTGCTCCTCACCTGACAGCTGAAAGGAAACCTGGCTCTTTCTGCATGTGCAACCCTGCATCCTTGAAAGAAACAGMARCACCAGTGACAGCCTGTGCTCTGCTGCATGCTCAATACTTGTCACCTAGTGACCCAGACAGGATTGTATTTATCCACTGATCTGTTGTTCTGAGAGGAATAAGGAATAATTCATTCAAATAGA